CAACCTGAGTTTTGTTCCAACTTGTCCCCTACTCCTGCATATCCAGCTACCTAGACCAAGTTCTTTTACCTCTGGATAAAGCCGCTAAACTACTCTCTCTGCTTGGAATATCTACCTTATGCCATCTCTGCATTCTGCCCTGCTTTAGGTGCCCATAGTTTCCTTCTTTTTCATAACTCGGCCAACCTGGGAATTTTATCTGCTAACAGAAGTAGAAATTAATTACGTTCTTTTTGGGAAACAGCTTGGCAATACTGAGAGACTTAAAACGTTAATACATCTTGACCCAGTAATCCCACTTTCCCCTAGAAGAAATGTCTGAAATATAAGCAAAAGCTTATGCACAAAGATATTCAAAATGGCATCTTTGATGCTATAGAAATTAATGTAGCCCAAATGCTTGAAAATACAAGGTTATGCAAATTAAATTCATACCAAGAAATTGCATGCAGTTCTTGAAAATTATGTGCTTAAGTAATTTTTACTGATATGAAAATGCTTATGCTAAATAAAAAACAAAATATAAAATTTAATATGATCTAAACTTTGTAATAATGTGATAGAAAAAAATACTGAAAGAAAATACAGCAAAATCTAGTAGCAAGTTATTGCTGAGCATTGGAATTACAGCTTATTTAAGTTTTCTTCTTTCCTATGCTTTTCCGTATTGTCCAAATTGGCTCACGGTAGAGGCATTGCTTTCATAATAAGTAAAAAGTAATAAAAGTTATTTTAGCTCTCTTGCTCCTGCTTCAGCCATGTAAGAAGTGCCTGATTTCTCTTTTCCTTCTGTCATGATTGAAAGTTTCCTGAGGCCTCCCCAGAAGCTGAGCAGATGCTAGCATCGTGCTTCCTATATAGCCTTTAGAACTAGTGGTTCTAGGCAAGATGTTATAGACAAATGAGAATGATGCCATTCCTCAAAATGTTATAAGGACATTTGGATAGGGACTATCTAGACAAGTAGAATGGATGGATACTGGCTGGATGGAGGAAGGACACTCTAAATTTGGAGCTAAGAGTTGAAGGCACAAAAAAAAGAGACTTGGTACTGGAACCCTCATCCTGCCTGGCATCTTATCCTGCCACCTTCAGGAAGTTGACTACACCATGAGAGTCAAGCCAAATTTGGGAGGTGAGAAAGAGACAAGGCTTTTCTGTCAAGAGTGGGGATAGTGGCTATGCATGCTTCACTTTTCAGGACCACTTGGCAGAGTGCGAAAACCTCTTCCACCCCTTTCGTCTCAGCACAGAGTAGTTTGACAGTGAAGAAAGAGAGGGATCAGGCTGGGTACTGTGGCTCATGCCTGTAATCCCAGCACTTTGGGAGGCCGAGGTGGGCATATCACTTAAGCTCAGGAGTTTGAGACCAGCCTGTGCAACATGGTGAAACCCCATATCTACTAAAAATACAATAATTACCCGGACATGGTGGTACATGACTTGGCCCCAGTTACTTGGGAGGTTGAGGCACAAGAGTCGCTTGAACCCAGGAGGTGAGGGTTGTAGTGGGCCCAGATCGCACCACTGTACTCCAGACTGGGTGACAAAGTGAGATTCCGTCTCCGAAAAAAAAGAAAACAGAGAAGGATCCCTCTTTACCATTGCACTTTTATCACTCGCATTACTGCTATTGTTATTCATCTTCCAAGGGTATACAGGAAATCTACTTCTCACTCAGTCCATCCTCTTGTACCTGCAAGGAGAAGCTCCAGTGTTGCTCACTGTTTTGAATTGGCACATTTGTTTGCTATCCCCTGTATCCACCAGGATACATTCCAAGGCCCCAAAGGATGCCGGAAACCGTACATAGTACCATATCCTATATATATAATTCACCAATTTCTTTTTTCTTTTTAACAATTTCACAGATTGAACATTTGTTCTTACCGTAGATCTTAACAACCTTAGTATAGATATTTTTTCTTTTTTTTTATTCAGTGGAGAGTTAGTTATTTACTTAGAAATGTTTCTTTTCTTACTAAGTTCTTTAAGTGGAAAGCTCTTCTTTCCACTTTTACTTTATTGAAACATTACAACAAATCTTTGAAGAAGAATATGTTATCATTCCATTATGATGAAACCAACTAACTTATCCAAGCATGTGCATGCTGCACACAGAAGAGCCAAGGTTAAAAAAATCCCTATTTTTACTTTTTCTTAAGATTCGGCAGATACATGTACAGGTTTCTTATATGAGTGTGTTGCATAATGCTGAGAAGGTAAGGGTTCAAGCAGTTAAAGATGTGAATTTAAATGCCTTACACTTTTGCTCAGCAAGTAAGTTATGGATCACAACAAAATGGTTAGGTAGAACAGGCTTCAGTACAAAGGAGTCTACTAGTGAAGCTGGGAACATGGAAATAACCATCGTGGTGGTAACAGGAGAGAAGATCCTGCTGCACACAGCACAGATATAGGAAGGTCCAGGCAGAGATCCCCATGGACACCGTGATCACAGCCCGCAGAGGGACATATCAATGTTTTGGCTCCTAAAACAACCATGCATAGTCTTTCCCCAGTGAACCAGTGAAGCTCCTGGTTACAGGCAACATTTAGAACACCAGCTTTGGACCTGCAGACCCCACGTCTTCTGACTCTTGAGACACTTACCTTTTGACCACAGAGACAGGACTCCAGAAAGACTGTGCCCTCTGGGACCACACTTCCCAGAATCTCCTTCAGATGGGCCTAGCTTTCCTGGTCTTGGTGACTCCTGATTGAGGACTGGCTCATCAGGAAGAGGACTAGAGACACAGCCAACAGAGCTTCCACCTCGGAATGCAGGAGAAGGTTGAGAATACGAAGACCCCTTGAAGAATGACCAAGAGACGCAGTGGCCATGGGTGGAACTGAAAGGCGATCTTAAGCCTGGACGGTGGGAGCTCTGTGTTGGACCCAGGGAGGAGGGAGTCATTGCAGGAAAGGAGGACAGTGGCATTCCATTTGTCAAAGCATCCTGGAGGAGGCAAGAGGTGGGAGAAACAAGCTAAACTTCTTTTGGATACAAAAAAAAAAAAGGTTATTTAAAAAACTCAGCTTAAGTAGTACCTCTTCAGAGAAGTAAGGTCCCTTTCTCCTACAATGTGGAATATATGTATACACACATAATTTGTATTTATTTATGCACATATAAATAAATAAAAAGCACGGTCTGCCGGGCACAGTGTGTCACACCTGTAATCCGATCACTTTGGGAGGCGGATCACAAGGTCAGGGGATCGAGACCATCTTGGCCAACACGGTGAAACCCCGTCTCTACTAAAAAAAAAAAAAATTAGCTGGGTGTGGTGGCACGCACCTGTAGTCTCAGGTACTCAGTAGGCTGAGGCAGTTGAATCGCTTGACCCGGGAGGCCGAAGTTGCAGTGAAAAGAGATCACAGCCACTGCACTCCAGCCTGGCAACAGAGCAAGACTCCATCTAAAAATGAACAAAACCACCAGGCGCAGTGGCTCAAGCCTGTAATCCCAGCACTTTGGGAGGCCGAGGCGGGTGGATCACGACGTCAAGAGATCGAGACCATCCTGGTCAACATGGTGAAACCCCGTCTCTACTAAAAATACAAAAAATTAGCCGGGCATGGTGGCACGTGCCTGTAATCCCAGCTACTCAGGAGGCTGAGGCAGGAGAATTGCCTGAACCCAGGAGGCGGAGGTTGCGGTGAGCCGAGATCGCGCCATTGCACTCCAGCCTGGGTAACAAGAGCGAAACTCCGTCTCAAAAAAAAAAACAAAAAAAAAAACGAACAAAACCATGGTCTTACCAAAGACAATCATCTACTGACCTATCTGTATCTTTCTTGGAAAAGTAAGAGCCCCTAGGATTATGAGGGCAGGGATCTGGCCTTTTACCTCTATAACTTTGGCATCTATGCATTGCAAGGCATGTAGCAGATTTCTAACAAATATTTGCTTTTTGGAGGAAAAGGAAGCTGTGCTGTTTTTAAACTTTGGACCAGGACAGGTGGTCTTCATTATTCAACCTAAGAATTTAAAAACCCATAATTTATCAAAAACAAACTTTTTTGAAAAAACACTAGAGTAAAAAAATTTTTTTTTTTGGTGAGTCAAATATTCAGTTAGGTATCGTTTTCAATAAAGTCCAGGACAATGAACAGGAATAAATATGCATGCTGTAATTATTCCCTGAACTACAATAACATGATATTAATACTAATGTTTTTCTCAAAATAAACTCAAAATTTAACAGTGTTCTTCCAGATGAGTGTGAAGGAAGGCAGGTGTTTTCCCAATGCTGTTCTTCTCCTTGGGAACTGTCAGCTTCAGTGCAATATTTCACAGCTAGGCTGTAAACAAACGTTAATTCCAGTTGGCTCAATACACATTAAACAATAAAATACCAGAAGTGAGTGGTCTCTGTTGTTCTCCAAAATGTATGATCTCGAACAGACTTCTACTGTGAAAACGTTCCTAGTTTGCCTGCATCACTCCCAGCTGGAAGTTGCTGTCCCGTTTAACAGTTACATAACATAATGTTTTATGTGAGAATTTTGAATCGCACAACAGAGACAAGAAAACAGACTAACTTGTCCTTGATATTATCACATCTTGGCAAAAAGCGAGACCCCTGTTTAGAACGGAAAATAAATCTTATTTGGGGAACCCTGTAATAGGCGGGGGCTGGGCGGGAAATCTAGGTTGCTGGATTTGTCACTAGGGTTTCCGCTAGTAATAACCAGAGGGTTCCAGTTAGTGTCACCTCCCAGTATGAAAGTAAATTTTCTTTCAGGCTTTGTTTGTGCAATTATACGTGTGTGGAGTGGTAGGTGGAGCATGTTTAGGTCCTGATGACCTGGAGGGTGACTCGTAAACACTCTGAAACATATGAGGACCCTGAGGAAACCTCCCCTGGCGGAGTGAGAGGGCTGGGCTTAGAGCCTGTGCGTTGGCGCGGCAGCTGGTGGGGGTTCCGCTCGAGCCGCACCCCACACTGCCCCCGGTCCCCCACCCCTGTCCTGAGCCCAGGCGCCCCGCCCCGTCCCACCTCGCTCCGAGCCGCGCCCATCAGCACCCCGACCGCTTCCACAGAACCCCGCGCTCCACCCTCAGGCCCCACCCCCCAGCCCTGGGTCGCGCCCCGCGTCCCTACCCGAGCCGCAGCACCCCGCCAGGCGGAACCACCTCGAGCCGCCGCTCGTTGGGCGTGAAGCGCAGCGCGCCTATTGGCCAGTGCGGCCGAGAGCGGGAAAAGTGGCCAACGGCTGCGCCGGCGCTCCGGCTGCTGAGGAGATGGCGTCCGGCGCCAGTGCCCCGGTGCCGGCGGACTCAGGCCGCACCACCAGTCCTGGAAGGCGAGGCGAGAAGGCCGCTTCCGCCGTCCCCGCGGACACGGCGGCCGCGACCACACTGAAGAGCACCGCGGTCACGGTGCGGTCGGTGGTGGCCTCCCCTCGCCAGGTGAAGGGGAAAGGGGGCCGGGAGGCGGCCAGGTGGCGGCTCCAGCGCCTGCCGGCGGCTCAGGCCGACGACGCAGGAGAGGCGGCCGAGGAGGAGGAGGAGGAGGCCCTGCTGTCAGTGCCTGAGGACGAAGAGGAGGCACAGCCCCTGCCCCCAATCTGCGTGTCCCGTATGAGGGGGATGTGGCGGAAAGAGAAGGTGGCGCTGTACTGCGACCAAGTGCTGCAGGACTGTAAGGTGAATAGATCCGGGACACGGAAGACGGACGGTCGGAAGCTCGCCGGGGCCTCGGGACAGGCATCTGGGGCTACCCTCTTAGGGGGACGGGGTCCAACGGGCACTACGAGAACCTGCGTTTCAAAAAATTAAATGGAGTCAACATGTATAGAGCGTTCACCTTGTTCGAGGTGCCTAGAGGATTTAAGGTTCGAGTTTCCGACAAAATTCGTCAGTTAACGGGACAGCCCTGAGAGGGTTTTCCAAGAGCTCCTAAAAAATGAAGATATATTGACCTTATCATCGCGCAGGCATGAATCTTAGTACCTTTATTTAACAATTGATGTCCAAACATGAGTAAGATCACTCAGCCTTGACTTCCACTAGAATACTAGAAATTACTTTTAAGGACAGGCGCGGTGGCTCACGCCTTTAATCCCAGCACTTTGGGAGGCCGAGGCGGGCGGATCACAAGGTGAAGAGATTCAGACCATCCTGGCCAACATGGTGAAACCCCGTCTCTACTAAAAATAGAAAAATTAGCTGGGCATGGTGGCGCGCACCTGCAATCCCAGCTACTCGGGAGGCTGAGGCAGGAGAATTGCTTGAACCCAGGAGGCGGAGGTTGCAGTGAGCCGAGGTTGCGCCACTGCACTCCTGCTTGGTGACAGAGCGAAACTTTGTCTCAAAAAAAAGAAAAAAGAAAAAAGAAAAATTGCTTTTAAGAATACTTCCAAACGGGGTACGGCGACTCACGCCTGTAATCCCAGCACTTTGGGAGGCTGAGGTGGGCGGATCACCTGAGGTCAGGAGTTCAAGACCAGCCTGGCCAACATGGCAAAACTCTGTCTCCACTAAAAATACAAAAACGAGGTGGGTGTGGTGGCAGGCGCCTGTCATCCCAGCTACTCGGGAGGCTGAGGCAGAAGAATCTCTTGAACCTGGGAACAGAGATTGCAGTGAGCCGAGATCGCGCCACTGCACCCAGCCTGGGTGACAGAGCCAGACTCCGTCTCAAAAAAAAAAAAAAAAAAAAAATAGTTCCCACGCAGCAGTCCTCAATGCGGCATGTTATTTTGAGTAGAAAATACATACTTGTTAAAGCGGAATAGAGCAAATATTTAGTGTTTCTAACCTAGTTTTTTAAGTTGCAGCAGAATTTGTGTACATGCATATTCATTGCAGGGATATTTATAAAAAGTTAAAAATTACTTTAAGACACAAACGATAACTAGCTGTCTTATCTATGAATTACTCGAGTGAATAGATCTTTTAAGTTTAATTTTTTGTTGATGATGTTTTTCACTAGATGTGGTTTCGGTTAAAATTTGTAATTTTCCAGGTCATTCATTATTTAAGGCTACATTGTTTCCATTTTAAAATACGAATCGGAAAAAAAAAAAAATGGAGTTAAAAATCTATAATTGCATATATTTATACATATATATATATTTTTTTTTTCTCTTAGGCAGAAGATGCTGATGAGGTTATGGGCAAATACCTATCAGAAAAATTAAAGTTGAAAGACAAATGGCTTGGAGTGTGGAAGACTAATCCCGATGTATTCTTTGTGAAATATGAAGAAGCTTCTATCCCTTTTGTTGGAATACTGGTTGAGGTAAATAAATTTTATTCGATCTTTGTTCTTTTTGAATCAGTTCTTTTAAAGGCTAAAATATGACTTTGTAGACTGATACACAAGAGTTGACACATTTCAGGTGCTGCTCCTGAAAAAAAAAAAGTTGACACATATTACGTCTGTTTTAAGTTTCTGAGAAAATTAATAGTGTAAAAAGAAGGTAAAGGGAATATTAGTGCCTGTAAACCATTATCATTAAATGGGATCCAGTAGTATCAGACAATACTTATTAGCCTAGTTTTTGCTCAAATAATGTAAAAATAACAAAAATGCATTTCTTATAAAATTAGCAATTTAGTCTTTAACAAATTTGAGCCTTCTTTTTCTCTTTTTCCTTTAATCTTCATTTATCTGAATTATGAAGCTCAGTTCAAATGAGGAAAGAAAAAGAAATGTAATTTTTTTTCAGTAATACTGTTTCCTTTTTTCTTTTTTTTTTTTCTTTTTTTGACAAGGTCTCACTCTGTTGCCCAGGCTGAAGTGCAGTGGTACAATCTCAGCTCACTGCAACCTCTGCCTCCTGGTTTCAAGCAATCTTCCAATCTCAGCCTCCTAAGTAGCTGGGACCTCAGGTGCACACCACCACACCTGGCTAATTTTTCTATTTTTAGTAAAAATGGGATTTTACTATGTTGGCCAGGCTGGTCTCGAACTCCTGATCTCAAGTGTTCCACCCACCTCAGCCTCCCAAAGTCCTGGGACTACATACAGGTGGAGCTACCATACCTGACCAGTAGTACTCTGTTTCTTAGAGGTTTGCTCATCTTCAGACTTTGAATAGCTTTGCCTAGATCTTTCACAACTTCTCTGGATTTTTTTTTTTCATCAGGTTAAAAATGGTTTTCATCTGGCTGTATGTTTTTTTTTTTTTTAGCAGTATAAGTTTGTGGGGTTTTCTTCAATCAAATTTTATGTGGAAGCTTAACATTAAATCAGAACATTTCTGATTGAAATGAATGATGGTGTCTTAGCATCTCTCTCAATACCTCACGATAGCCCCTACGCTCCATAAAACTTTTCAAGAGCTCTAAACTTCTATGGAAACTCAGTGGATTAGATTACCTAAAAGTTCTATCGATTTCTAAGGTTTTACTTGCAATACATTGATTATTTAATCTCTCTCTCCCCTACTTTAGAATTCTATAGGGGCTAGTAATCTCCTTTAAATGTTAGAAAGACAGGATGAAACATGAGAAGAGAGGAAAAAGCAGAGTAGTATATTGGCAGATTCTAATTATTTTGTGACAGATAAACAAGTGAGAGTAGCTCTTGGGACCTCTTAAGATAGTGTTGCACAATTCATATTGTTGTTTTCTCTGAGTCTGCTTCTTTAATCTTACTTCAACTGAAGTATTAAAAATGCTATATAATGCTCTTTGTTCTGTAGTCACAATAATTTACTCCAGTGAACCCCCAATCTCTTTTTCTTTAGATACTGTATTAGTTTTCTATTAATGCCACAGCAAATTACCACATTTGGTGGCTCAAACAATACAAATTTATTATCTTACAGCTCTGTAGATCAGAAGTCTGCCATGGGCCTAACTGAGCTAAAATTAAGGTCTATACAAGGCTGCATACCTTTGTGGAGGCTGTAGGTGAGAATCTGTTTCCTTGCCTTTTTCAGCCTCTAGAAGCAGCCCGAATTCTGTATCTTGTGGCCCTCTTCCTCTGTCTTCAGTGTACTTCTCGCGTTGTATCTTTCTGGTTCACAACAGGCTAAGAAGGTGGTCCCCTTTTAATCGATTCATGATTAGAATGGGCCCAACTGGGTAATCCAAGATAAGCTCCACATTTCAGTCTTTAATTGTTTTTTTTTTTTTTTTTTTTTTTTTTTTTTTTTTTTTTTTTTTTTTTTTTTTTTTTTTTTT